TTGACAGGTTTCATTGGAAACGTTCGAAATTTAAAAGGACACAATGTTTAAGTGCGTAACTTTTAATTTGTAGTTATTGCTGGTTGTAAATCATAAATACTACCCTTCTTATAGACCAGCCTCTAGGATCGTTATCAATGCCATCTGTCGACTGGAGGTAGTAACACAAGTGTCTGGACCTAGACTATGGGAACCATCTAATCGCAAAACCAAGAAGTATTAATACAGATTGATAAGTTTAATTGTCAATTTCTCAACAGAGTTAAAGAAGCTAATAACATATCTTATGATATCGCATTTTGAATGACATTGAATTTACATAGATATGTGTCGATTCTAAATAACCAATTGTTTTCATGGGTATTATGTAAATAAAAACAAAAAAATTGTTCAAACCTTTTTATGTACATGTTTGAGTCAGCATATGATAGTGTATAAAGTATATGACAGCCTGAATATCCAAGAAAAGAAACAACAAAATGCTGAAAGACTTCCTAACTTCTCTTCTGATGGAACCTTAAATTCAGTTTCAGATTTTTTTTCAAGCCGGGTAATATTTGTTGTTATCACTGACTTTATTTTTACTGTTTTTTAAATTTAAGGTTCTCAAAAAGTATAACCGAATGCATGTGTTAAAGACTGTCTCATCATTGGCATATTCTTCATGTAATAACACATTGCAGCAAGTATTCATGGATTGTCATCTTTATGATCGTAGATATGAACAAAGAAATAGATTTGCGCATGTGTGGGGGTGTTTTTTTTTTATCTATCAAGAATTCTATATTATTAACATATATTTGATTGTTTTATGAATATCAAATGCAGTGTGTTAATTTGTTCAATAATTAAATAATAAAAAAGTTATGTATGGACTAAGAAAGTGACTGAATAATGATATACAGCACTAGATTAGATAGGTATAGTAGAGTAGAAATGTACCACCAGGTCCACACGTTCTCTGACGACTATTTGGTGCAGAATGCCAATCACTTTATACCATAGGAGCGGCTGACACTCGTCATCACGTCCTCACATGGACCAAACAATCGATCTATTTAGACAGGGGCTACATATATACGCTTATATACAAATTAGCATACTTTTTTCTACGGTCATGGTCAATTATATATTACACACCTTTCACAACAGTCACGTAAATAATCGGTGTCTTCGGGTTATTTTCCAGAAGCGCCTTAATATATATTGATTAGTGTTTTATGGCGTTAGCAGCTCTTTATATCGAAATAGTGCTTGCGACGCTCCCCTAAAGAACATTACACTTTTAGGAAAACAGCTTCTAATTGATACAATACATCCACAGTTTCATTGAAATACTGACGGTTCATTCTTGAAAAACCCTTTTAATACAAAGTTAGGGTTAGATACAGTAGGGAAAAGAAGGAATGAAACAGCATCACACATTTGGTTCGTCCATCTAACACTCATTAAAGATGAGTCTTTCTTAACGAAATGCGATGTTTGTGATGGATTTCAATTTCAAATACATTGTATATTTTTAAAAAGTTTTATTTTTCGTTCACTTAAAATGTATTCTTTAAAAACGTTAAAATCTCTTTTCTAGTATCTCTTATAAAAATTAAAGATGTCTGTGAGCTAATTCGTCCTGTGTTATTTTAGTGGTGAAAGTGTAATAGTAATGTGTACTACAGAAGTTCACATCAATAATTATCTTGGATTCACCATAATTCCGTTCAGGTCCCCGTAAGAAATCCAAAGAACAATCTGATGACGTATGTGCCAATATTGGCTGGCAACAATACCGTACATGCGATGATTGCGTGAAAGAAAGCCTCCTCAATGAACAAAGGATTAGAACTCTGTCTAAGCTAGCACGGCACGTTACAATACGAGTTTTTTTTTTAATCTGTGTGTGTTTTATTAATTTTCCATGTCCTATCATTAAAAATGCTTCAAATACATCAACTTTAATAAGAAATTCGTAATTCACAACTCCATCCTATGCAAATATCAGACAACTAAATTTCCAGTACAATTGATACAAAAAAATTTTTACAGAAGGATGTTAAATATACAAGATACACGATATTGTGACGTCGACAATTAATTTCTAACACAAATGTAATCACCATCTCATCAGTAAACACAGTTTAGGATAAACGTTGAGATAAAGCATGGTAATTTACATGTTATTCAATAACATACACATCTACGATGCGTCCTCTACTCACTGGAATATGGTATGTCAAAAACATTCTTAAATCCATTCATTAAAATGGAATTATTTCACCGTCGGCCATGACATGCATTGAAACTTAATGACACCATTTCTGTATCAAGTATTGTTTGAATTTTTTTTTTCAACGTTGTACTGAGACAATTGCCACAAATGGCAGCATTACTTAACGAGAGTGTCGTTTCATTTCGATAACAAACAAACGAAGTTTTGTAAGGAATCTTCAATACAAACGCAAATTACCTGTTCGAGGTAGCTCATTGATGGTGATGCACTAATCCGTGATAGTTAGGAATGCTGATGGAGTTGTATGTTGTATGAATGATAAGATATACCTTAATACAATATTCATATAAAGATAGACCTTGTCTAAGAAAGTAGAACAATAGGTGTATCACGAAAATTATATTCAAAATCGGATGTATCTTGATTTCATTAAGATAGTGCAAAATAAGTTGATGAATTATCCGATTTTTCACGGTAACTTATCATATTTTACCTTTCGTGGTGAATATCAAGCATTCCTGCAAAACTTTATTTTGTGTATCAAATATATTCGCCTTTTTTTGGGGGGGGGGTCACTTTTTTGGATAAGGCTGTGATTAAATAATGTGTCTTATTCTGATAAAAGATATAGCAACTTCACGTAAAAAATATACATAAGCTTTCACGAAATTAAATGCAAATTGCACCATAAAACACGGAAATTATTACGGCTGGTATTCAAAACCAGTATCATCAATATGCTCTCCGCAGAATGGATCTGACACCTTCCGTGACAGTAGAAGACTATAATCAAATAGCATGAGGTATGACAAATTGGAAATTGCCGAATCGCCAATTTAACTGTCAATGTTTGTTCAAAGCAATCTTGCAGGACAATGACACGCAAACTTCAAAAATCCGATCGAGTTTGTTTAAAGCAATGAGTACGTCTTGTTCTAAGGGCGAAACTATATTGATACGTTAGTATACTGTGGATATGGAATAAATTGGTAATAGATAGCTTTTTGCTTCTGAAATGTGAATGAAATGACGAAGGCATCCAAACGAAATGAGACTGATACTTTGATTGTTAAAGTCTTCACGATTGGAAGGAAAATCAATGCGAAAGCTTTTACTTCTCCTTCCAAAGCAAAATGACTGGAGAGCATGGCTGTAATAGTGGATTTTTACAATGTAAATACAAAATCAAATGTACGTCCTTCAACTTAGTGGAGTGAACACGATTTTTAACAAAAAAGAAAACTATAAAGAGGGCTAGCTATTTATCATTAATCCCATTTGTTGATTTTTTGCGTTATATGATTATTAGTGTCAAATAGATGGTAATAAATGATTGAAATAATCCTTTTAGGACTAAGATGCGATGCATATTGAAATGTATTTATTTTTCGTATTGATCTTTTTAAAAACACATTAATTTATATCATTTATGCGTTCTTTACGCTCCAACATGTCACCTTTTTTTCGATTTACTGTCTGGAATGTTTATTTGAAAGTGAAATCGACTAAAGATATATATTGAATGTGCGAGTTCTGTGTCGTACTTTTGTATTGACCGTTCGGGAATGTTTTGACAGGTGCCCGTGCCATCAATAGCACATAAACAGGACATAATTGATCTTGCGCTTTGACGATCCTAGCTCGGAAAAGTCAAAGGTTACCTCTCTTATAAATCTATCTCGCGGGGTCCATATATATCTGTCTAACAAGATCTTACACCATTAAGAAACTTCTCTATCTTGTTCCCTTATTTGTTTATTGACAATTTTTTCAAGATTTTAATTAATCACAAACAATTACACTTTATGATTTTTTAATCAAACGCCATTACTCGTTATTAAAAAGATAACCAGTAGTGTTATATTACAATTTAAGATATTGAAAAAATAACATAAACTCATAATAAAAGTAGTGTTAAGCATCTTTACAGTGTCGCAGAGCAGTAAATTAAACATATACTTTCAAATAAAGCAATGTTACCTACAGATATGTAACTGATCTAGTCATATGAATCTGATATATAGGTGTAGGAATCTCTGACGAAGTTATAACTATCAAAAATACGTCATCTTGTCTGCCTTATTTCTTTGATACCCCTGAATGTATACCCCTCTACGACGATACAAAATGATTCACTGTTGAAAGTCTTTTCCAGACACCTTTCAAATTTCAACCCTAGACTACTTCAACTTACTTTGAAACTTAACGCAATTAGTTTGACGTTTTAATCTTATATAATTTTTATATGTATTTACCTTGTACTGGGTTCCGTGATGGTTACTGATGTCAATCATACAACATATGTAGAACTTGTCGTTCAGCAACATACCAAAATTCACACAACCATAGGAACCCAGCCGAAAGCCTAATTCATGACATAGATGCCACCGTGAGACAATTCTGGGAGGATATTCCCAGACGAGCTAATAAGATATATACATTTCTTCGCTTAAACAGATTAGGTCTTCACGATATTTCTCGTCACTTTATAATACATTTAAACCCCAACCGTTTCCTTTCAAATCTTTTATCTCTACACCATGTGAATTTAACAGAAAAGAACTTCTTTAAGTAAAGATGATTACCTGTAAAGGCATATTCATCCAGAATTAATTCGATTCTTTTCGTTGTATCATGTTAGACTGATGCCGCGATAGTCGAGAAGATTTGTGTGGCATGACAATGTAATAGGACACAGATGAAATCACGTGCATTGATTACGTAAACCACAGAATATGATCGCGTGACGTAAAATCTTAGAATAAGATTTACTTACCTTGTCCATGAAAAACCACACACGAGTAAAATATAAGCCATACACCAGAAATAGGTAGCGTCATCTTGGCCCACATCTGCATTTTGTAACTAGAAAATTGACAATCGTCCACCTGCCTCCGTGTACATCCAGTGAGATCAGACGTTAACTAAGTCTACCGATGATCAGCGTTAAAAGCATCCCAAGTCCAACACCTAGGTAAATCCAGATATCAAATCAATGTCTTTACAATGTTATCCGATCTGTTACAGCGAATCCTTCTTCCGTAGTTGTAGCTCTTTCGTTCTATTAGTCCACCATGTGCTTGGTAATACCTCTTTGTTTATGTATTTCATAAAGGTGTTGTTGCGTCGGCGGGACAAATTGGAGTCTTAATTTTGGTCAACGGGGCGAAAGAAGTGTGTGAAAATTCTTTAAACACTCTCTGATACAGATTCTTAAAGAAAGACAAGTTTTTTCCTTGAAAATCAGAGTGAGATCTACCACTGAGATTAAAATTGGAGTCGGAAACGACGCGTGATAGCCGGACCGATCGATGGATGTTGAGAATGTATAACGGTACATATGTTAGCAATAAACGCGTGTGTGAGAAACGTTGGATGCCAATCAACTGCTAATAATGTGATCGAACATTGATACAGAGATGGGCCTGTCTACAAGTGGGAGGGAACAAATACCGCCGCTACCACCAATCGGGACCAAGCAGCATTTTCCAAAACCCGGCACTGTTCTCTAGTTACAGTAAAATCAATGTGACTATAAACGAGTCACCAGTTTGTCCCTAACTTGCCTAACCGCCTGTGTGTAGCTGATGGTATACTTTTCCGTCAGTGCCAAGTGTACGTAAGGTGTCTAGGTACCGAGGTCATAATTAAACGAGAGACCCGATGGATGTATATTTCATAGATAATGGAAATAAAATACTCGGACCACTAATTAGCTGAGATTTACCTCCTCTTCATCTCCGAGAATATATCACTGTAGATAAAACTCTTCCTATCGACTATTGAGCGGCTTCGGACGTCTTTTCTCTATATACTAACCTAACAGAAAAGGACCGCCCCTCTGGCTATTCCAAAATTGATAACACTGACCACAGCACAAAATCAATTTCCGGACAATGGGCATGATACATCTTCGTCTTAATTATCACGTTATTTTTGTGATACTGTACGAGTTCTTATTCATATAAAAGGTTGATAAAAAACCGAAAGTTATCAATAGTCCTGCATCATGTTACTCTGTTTACATATTTAATGAACAATTTCATACCAGGGTTATATTTTACAGTTGGCATTGGGACAGGGTGTAGAATATTAAGAACTCAGACATATGTTGTATAAAATCCTCGTTGTACTCTATTGTGTTTACATTACTGGTATTTGTAAAGCAATCTTTCTCATCTGGCTGATTCTAACCTGTTCATCATTCGGATCACCTGTACACGTTTTTCGGATGTAAGAAAGATTGTCAACAGGACCATCGTTTCAATAAACAAACAAAGAATGGATACTGCAGATATTGCATTGTGTACATGCAGATGTAAATACTAGTTATGTGAATTCCAAACGTAAATATGATAAACGTTGTCTTGCAGAGGAGGATTTTCACCAATGAGTACATATATTGAGAATTTAAGGTCACCTGAAATCAACTAGACATTAACATTTATGGTGTTAAGAAAACGCTGTTGGAGAGAGAGAGAGAGAGAGAGAGAGAGAGAGAGAGAGAGAGAGAGAGAGAGAGAGAGAGAGATGATGAGAGAGAGTGTTTTTTTTATAAATAATAGATAGGTCATGACAAAACACAGTTTAAAAACTTTGAAAAGGAGAACAAAACTCTGGGAAGTACCAACTATTTAATTACTAATGTATAGGTGATTTTAAACTCAGGTAATGTCATGTCCTTGGCAATTATAAACACCAGAAAGTAAGATATTGTGTGGTGGATGTGACGACCACAGAACTTGTCTGTAGGGACGTGATCAATGGGGGTGCGGGTGGGGGTGGGGTGGGGGGTGAGAGAGAGAGAGAGAGAGAGAGAGAGAGAGAGAGAGAGAGAGAGAGAGAGAGAGAGAGAGAGAGAGAGAGAGAGAGAGAGAGAGAGGTGTAGTTGCATATTGTCTTTATGATAGAAGGGTTCGTGTTCTTAACAACACCCTTTCGCTTGGTTCAAATGAACACGTTAGAGAGATTCACATGAAACTTTTTTTATTGAAGCTGCTGTTGCCGGACCTCTGAAACATGACGCATAACTGATATCTTTGAAACTATCATACTTAACACATCTGTTAGTTTTTGCTGTCATGGCAACACATGCAAGTGGTAAAAATGTTGTACATTTAGTCCTAACTAGCATATCGAGTTATGGCTGTACCGTCAAGAATGACGTTTTTGGTTTTGGTGAGACCGTTCTTAATCGCTCCAAAATGTTATAGTTCATTAGACATATTTCGACAATTGCACAAACACATTGCAACAACAAACAACAAACTGCTTATTATTATGGAAAATATATTGATATTGTCTTTTTCGTTGTTTTAGATATAACGATGTACTGTTGAATTTACTTAAGTTATGAAGACGAGTCATACAAATTAAACGAAATTCGGCACTTAAAACTTTCTGTGGCCTGACAAATTTTGACCTAGCGTTTGATAGATGAAATAATACCTTTCTGTCATGACGCCTAGTTTAACTGTTTGCGTTGCGTTCAGTTGTTGTATTCCATTTATACTAAGGTACATCAGTGTCGTAAGGTCTGGCACTAGATTCCGTCCTCGACGCTGTTCCGTCCGGTTTAGTTGTCTGACCGAAATACCACCTATGTACATTTATTTCGCAAAACAAATATATGTCTTGCACTGACAGTCATGCAGACTTTGTATTTACATGTGTGTCATCTCTCTAACCTTTGAAAAAGAAGCATTTTGTGGTATTGCCGTTCGACAAACACTGAAGTGTGGCGTAGTTTCTCACTTACAGTAAGATCAAGATACATCACAAAATTGGTTGTATAACTTAATGATTGTCAAGTCGCGCTTCAATTTTGCTGAATTACTTTCGATCGATCTTCTAAAAACATTCAGAACTAGGTATATTTCCTTTCTTGTAACAGGTTGCAGATCAATGAAGATTATTCGGGAATAAAGCTGTAAAACAAATGCCACTGCATGTTTGCAGTATCGGAAGTCTTCAAAATATCGATATCGTTTTTATAGTTTTAGCTACAGGTGAATAGACACATAAGTTCATTTACCCTTTTACAACAACTGAGAAACGAAATATTCGAGCTTATATTAATCACTCTTCTTAGCACGATGGAAGCGTAAGGGGTCTTACTGTGGGAGGAGACCGGAGGGCCCGGGGAACCCATAGTGGTCGAGTACCTTAAACGTTCGTTCCGAAAATCGAACACCGGACGCTCCCCGAAAGGCGAGTGTTAAAAATACGTTTGTGATATATGCCAATTTGTAACCTCGATCGTCTATGCCTAGAAAGTTGTCGTTCAGAACAAATCTGTAAGGAAAATTACAATTTGGACGATCATGTTAATATATACAGAAATTGTAAGTATGTAAAGAGGAAGTATTATCACCATTTGCGATAAACATTTTATGGACCTGGATATTGTCGATACAAAAATAATGCACTGTATACATCCACTTAAAATTGCATGTATCATGCCAGGTCAAAACGCCAACCTTCAAAATTACATGCAACATGCTGGCTGTCGGTGCGACCAGCTGCCTGCAGCTTTAGGCAGGCGCATGCAGCTGGTAGGTGTCAAATGTTTCACCAGGATCTATATGTATCAGTAGACAGACATGTATCGTCGATGACTGCTTCATATGAATGCAGAGGGTTTGCTACCTCGAGCGGGTCACGTCACGAGGTCAAACGATTTTATCAGCCGTAATGATAGTCTTAAACAGGTCATCTAGGACTTAGTCTTACATATGTCCACATTTCGCCGTCAAAGATACGAATTTGCTCAAAATCGGCATTGGGTCTGTTGCGGTAAAAGAGTATTAAAATGTTCAGGTTTTAAGTAGTAGCTGCCTGGGCAACACCTTGCTAACTATTGATCTATTCCAACTTAAATAAACATAATTGATATCTGTTTGATATATTTGTAACATATCTTTTCTGAGCTGAATGGACAAAAACCTTGATTGATATCAATCGGTTTAATGCATTAAAGCTTCATACTAGGTGTGGCCAATCGAAAAGGTGATATCTGACCCGACTTTAAGAAATCAATGTTCTTAATCGATATTGTGTAATCCTCAATTACTAATTTAGTGTGATATATGTTCAAGTCTAACACCATAGAGTACTCTGGTAAATTCCCGATCGTGGCAAAACTGCTATCGAAGGGAGTCGGGAGGCCTCGTCTGATCCCTCGACCAGGAAAGGTCGTCGCGATATCCACATTTGTGTTCGGCGTTCTACAGGTACGACGTGCTAACTCTCGTTGCCAATGGTTTGTCAGTGGGTGACTATTCGACCTAACCCATTGCTCGTCAATCCATGTGCTATAAAATACGCAACTTCAGCCTTGCAGTGAATACTATTTTCGCTGAAATATTCGCGATAGTCACGATCTTGAGGCCTGTTTTTGGATACGTCCATTGATTCTAATTCGTGACCTGCCTCCCACTGTTACATTTTTACATTCCAATTAACCCCGTGATTTTTTGTGGAGTCTAAATCATAATATAGGTACAACCTAACCACATCCAACTATGGTGAAATTAACAATGTATAGTCAAGGACTTTTGTTGACATCTCAAACCATTACTGTGATAACCATGTATACGATATTAGTAATCTGGTCTAGGATTATTACTACATATTTAATAGTAAGACCGTGGTCATTGGGACAACTAGTACATCATTGACCAGAAAGAAACTACTTTCGCCTTTGTTTCCATAGCTGGTCTCTGCTGCTTAACATAACCATATATTTATAGATTATGCACATATATTTATCTTTGGTGCTCCTGTTTTTATCATTATGGTGCATATGACTGTCGTTTGGACGCAGTTCACTGAATTGCAAAAAGCTATAACGATAATTCCATCGCATTGTCGAAAGGTTGTCTTTTTCTGATATCTATTTTTGTTTTGAGCAAACCATGTATTTGAAAAATATGTTGGGTTGTGCAATAAGTATTGTTTTTAGTAATACTTGCACATACATGTACATTGTAAATATAAACTACAATAAAACAACTGGTATGTTTATTTCTGTTTTGACATAAAATAATCAAAATAACAACGCATCGCTTTTAAAACTAGTACCTATAAAGCTGAGTGACAATGAACGTCAATCTTCAGCTGTAAGCAGATTGACTGGACATTTCTCTAAGTCTATATTAGGGGAAAACAGAAGCTGCGTCTCCAGGCGATATCGGTTTCAGCTGCCTTTGACAGCAAGAGTCATTGCTTCTATCTTAGTTTGCTTTGTAATTTGTCAGCAGTCAAACACATTATCTATATATCTATTCATGCACTTCAGTGGTAGGCGTTCTCGGGTCAACTTTTCTCACCAAAGCATGTCTCGGATGAAATATATACTGTAAACACATTGATTTCCTTGATGGGATTTATTTGCTTTGATATCGTTTGCACTTGCATATATGTTGAAATCGACGAATTAACATTTCAACGAATAACTATCGAAATAGTAAAACAGTTATTACGTATTAAAAAAAATTCACAATGTTATAACTTAAACTTGACTGGATGAAGCTTGGGAGAGACGGACTATCCTGCAACATTACCAAACGATCTTAACTTTTATTTCAACCTTGTCATATTATGGATTTATAAGAAAAAGCCTGTTTTTTTTTTGTATTTGATGATATGTTTTATCTCTATCTCCATCATTGCAGCATTAATTCAAAGAACGATACCTCATTGGGCAGCCTGATGTTGGTTCCCAGTTCTAGTTCCTAGTTTCGTTTAAAAAACGGAACTAGAAAGTACATATTAGTTCCGGAATTCTAGAACCCGGAACCTACAGTCTTTCACATAGACATTAAAACTAAAATAGATTTTTTTATAAAGGAATGTTATAGGGAACACGCAGTCAAACTCCAGATCCGTTTTGCCTTAAATGGAACTGGGAATTAGGAAACTTGGAACCAACTTCAGGCTCCTATGCTGCAATGATACATTGTACTTTAAATTTCTCCACTGCTAACTATCAATTGCACTAAGGCTAACAAAAGTGTAAAGGCACGTGACTAGTGTGGCTTTGTTTTGGATCTATCTAAAGGCAGTCTAAATGCATGATGATATATATATATTGTGACGTCAAAAAGATAGATTTTGTAAAGTATCACAGATATGTGATAAATAGGATCCATTCCCTGAGATTTATAAAACGTGTCAAAAGAGGTTTTTAACACGACGTAACATCAGGAGAATGAAGATGAATCATCGAATCGTTTAACGAATCCCATGTCAACAGAAATTCATGTCAGATACCAATGTTTGTATCTTTCTGGAGAAAACTGGCCGCTCTAATTGTAACTAATTTCACATTCGAGGCAGACCAAAACAATCACGCTTCATTAACTAGTCACCTGATTGAATAAGTGTGGAAATTATAAACACGAATGTAGTCGTTCATATTTTCAGATTTTTTTTCAAGTTTTTCTAAAAATGAACCTGAAATATTGGGTTTTTTTTATATCTAATCTTCAAATCAGAAACTTATAAATAAAATTCCCTGATGATATTGCAAATCGATATGGTTACTGACGACGAAATCCAAATACATGAATGATCATTACAGCTGTTGATTACTGAAGCATTAACGTTAACAATGAGATTCACCAACAAGTTACCATGGTTGTCTTGGTTATGTGTGATTTATCATCTCTACCTGACGTATCTACGCAACACTGTAGTCTTAATGTGACTCATCCTCAAGAGCAAATTATGATTATTTCCGCGGAGATCGTCACCAGTTACACAACCAGCTATCGGGTCAGACATATTTACAGATTGACCAGTATGTTTAAACAGAAGTCGACCTCACACCTTAACTGTTTGTTGAGAATAAAATATCTTTTGAATCAAATTTGTGTAAATGACTCACCCGTTTTTATGAAGTTTATTCAATACAGTGTCCACTCATCGGCCTGTGAGACAAACAAACACAACACCGGAAGTATCACTGAAAGATATCGATTCTGTGGTTATAATTGCACTGTCCAGTTTTACTGACCACACACTGGCCGAAATTATAATGGCTTGACGTCTTTGATCACCGCAGATGGTCAGTTTATAAATTAGGACTACCAGGATGAATCGATAACAACAATGTCGATTTTATGGATTATTCTGTCGTGTTATATTAAAATCAAATTGTTGGCAAACGATTTAAATTGATATGTTCTTTCTGTTCATGAAGATTTTACAAGAGACACAAATAAAAGCAGCACTTTAGAATTTGATTTTTAAATATATATATAGATATAGAACACATATTGATATAAATCAACAGTGCCGTAGATTGTCCTTATGGGGCTTTTTACTGAGACAACAGACATATTACAATCTAAAACCGATAATGGCTTCAAGCGACTTATTTCAGTTTAATTATTGTTAATTCAACCGACAACCACAAATGTCGGTACAAAAAGGTCAAATGCATTATTTCTAAAGAAAAATAACATAACGAAAGAAAATGTCAATGATTACAGACAAAATTGAAAGTAAATGCCGACTGGGGAAATTAGAACATCTGGAACCAAGACTATAAAGTAAGAACACGATACATGGGGAAACCTCAAAATGGGTGTATGAGTGGTATAAATAGTTCAATGCTTCCATAGACGATGACGAAGAAGCCAGTCATTCATCTAAACCAGAGAGACACCGTAAGTATAGATAAGTTAGATTATATACAAATTCGCCTCAATCAAAAACACGTATAGTCTCTTTATGTATGTTCATAAATCTTCGGCACATACAAACTTAAGGTAAATCATTATCAGAAATCGATGTTTATTTATTTATTTATTATTGACAGACATTTGAGAGAGTTCTGTATCATCTACTGTAAGGATTGTACACAAGACACATAAGTGAATATGACATATTAATATATATTTGGAATAAGAAACAGTATTGCCGAAAATGAATTTAACAGTACAGTATAGCAGTTACAATATTTGGCCTCAATCACCCCACAATGAAGAACCAAGTGAGCTAAAGACATACCGCAGAGTCCGGCGTCCGTCGTCCGTCGTCTGTCGTCCGTTAGCTTTTTACAGATCAATCTTTTTCAAAAGTACTTGGCCAATTTTGACAAAATTTAACATGTGCTAACACTAGAATATGGGATCTGAATTGATAAATTGTATACATCTGCACTCTCAGATGTCTGAAAGACCTTACTAAAAACGTAATTTTTCTTCTTCTCTACTCCTACAGGTAGCAGAGTAGTGGCACATTTCAAAAAAATCACCAACTAGCCCCTTTTTTAAATAAATGACATTAAGGTCTTAGGTGGTCAAGTGGCAGGGCGGGATCAATATTTTTGTATTATCGTATTCATTGTGTCTTTAACACACTTGAGATCCCCGTAACCATAAATACATTGTAGCATTGCTGGGCATCAGGAAATAAACACAATTATGATCAAAGAGAAATAAAAATAATCTTTAAAATCCTTCTTCTTTTGTAAGAATGCCTGGATTATGTAGCAATTTGATATGAAGCGTCCTTTTGTAACGAGAAATCAAATTTGTATTGGCGAGGTCCAATAGGAATGCATTATTTCCAAATTTGGTCTAAAGCATCTTTGGATGAAGGAGATTTAACTTTGCGTAAAGTGTGGGTCTAGGCCGAGTGGGGTGGGGAAATGTGGCTCAATAGGGGAAACAGGGCAAGTTCTATTAAATAAAGTTTCTACTGTATGAATGCCTGGATTCTGTTTCGATTTGACATGAAGCTTACACGGATGCAGGGAACTAAATTACTACTTTTTTCCATGCGTTTTTTTTTCTTTTTGTAAACTGTTCTCTTGTTCATCTCTATATTACTAGCATTTCGTAGATTTAGACTAAGGATAACGATTTCGTCTGCAGCTTGTTTGTTCATTCCTACATATGCCATCAGAGTACACTTTGTGGTCTGAAATGCGCTGGCGTCACAATATCTGTGAGTCCACCTGTAGCGCGTGTTATAACTCTCCTTGTAGCTAACGCTTGTTTAATTAAGTATCGATAATGGCCGTTTAACACGGTTGTTAAGCCTTAACGTGTTTTTGATCGATTACTGTGATTTATCTCGATCTCTGATCTCCGTAAAACATCCACGCTGACCAACGAACATATTTGCAGTAATTGGCATCCATTGAGTATGAATGCTGTTTCAGTGGCTGACCGTTGTTTACATGTCAATTACAATTGGATATCTCGTATATCACCCACTG